AAGTATCCGATCGATAGTTGAGTAGCGTCAGTCAACAAAGGGTTAAAATTGATTGAATTGGGATTATTTGTTTAAAATTGATCTCGACTCAAATTTTGAAAATTTGTTCGCAATTTTTTTAATTTTAAGAACAACAAGTTCGGAACAGAATATTGTAATGAATTAATAGAAGAAAAATAATAAATGATAGGAATATACATATGTACATATTGCAAGGGGTGGAACGAAGTATATTTATTTTTAATAACATATTTTATTAATATAAATTTATTTTTATAATTATAAATTAACTAGTGTACATATTTTTTACATTTTGTAGCTTTGGAAAGACTTTTTGTACGATTTTACCGAATTATTTTCAAAACAATTTTCAATAAACTTACATACATATGTAGATATGTAGATCTTTTTTATGTACCCGCTTTCAGAACTTCGCGTTTATACTTTACAATTTACATTGAAAATGATAACCAAAGTAGGAGTATATCTGTTAATAAGTAATTCGACCTTCCGTTTACATCACACTAATGCAATCACTCACCAATATTTGTATACAAAAAATTCCATTAGCTAAAAGTGTCTTATTTTCATTTTTATACACATAAGAATTTTTGAGAGAGGGAAAGAGTACGCAATAGATGTCTACCTGTTTTTTTAAAATGTATTTTTAAAAGCGGGAGTTATTTATTTTGCCCTACATAAAGTATAGGAAAAAATTTTAAGAATTTTAAAAGCGGGAGTTTTAATTTTGTAACTTATTCCAGTACAAGGTGGTAAAAAAGGTGTATTCATATTACAAAAGCGAAGCCTAAAAAAAGTGTTTAAAAAAAATTATTATAATTTATATAATATAATTTTGAAAAATTATAAAAATAAATTTTAAAAAGACGTATAACATTAAAAAAATGTTTAAATAGTTGTGAAAAAAAAATATTTATTTTATAAGAATGGGTAAACATTATTTGAAGCGTTTTCGATGTAATTTTGTGAAAATTTCACTTGTTGCCAAAAGATGTGGAGAGGTAAATATGTACTTTTGAAAATATTTTAAACTTTTAGTGTTAAGCTTTTGTAATTAATAATTATTAATAAATAAAATAAATAAATTATCTTTAAATTTTTAATTTTCATTTCAATATTAATAAATTTTAAACATATTGCCTATGAATCGGTAATAATAATATTGCATAAAATATTAATCAGTATGCATACACCTGTCTTTTCTTTATAAATTACTTTATTTCTATGTCACTGCCTGATACTGTGTATATACTTTACCAGGTAAATGCATTCATACATGAAATTTCAAACTCTTTTGCTTTCATAGATTCGAATTTTTAACCTAACTTTAATAAAATGAAAAATAAATTTTGGTATTATCAAAATACAAAATAACAAAATTTTTTTCTACCTTAATTTAATTTTATTTCAGTTCAATGTTTTTCATACACTCTTTTGTTTACAATATTTTGTTTCTTTCTTGCCCACACAACTTTTTAAGAATTTGGAAGCAAAATGCAAACGAAAACTAACGAAATGGAACGAGTCGAACTACTTATTATAGATATACTTTGATGATAATTGCGAGTCTTCAGCAACATAAAATTTCAGCATAAGATGTTTTCTTCATGGAAACGTTTTTTAAACAAGTTTCTATACATGGATCTAATAATACATGAATAGCTGACAAATAATATTTTTGAAGCCAAAATAAAATATGTTACTTTTTTGTCTTTATTTAGTAAAAAGAATTGTTTTACATGTAGTAAAAACTATTGCCAGAAACGATTTTAAAATATTGTTAGGAAATATGAATATTCTAGAAATTTATGAGAGTTATTTTTTCAATAAAAAAATATTAGTTTTTAACCATCTATATATACATATTTTTATTTTAAACATACTACCAATCAAATCTAACATGATATTTGTGTATATTATTGCTTAAGTGTATTACATTAAATTATTGACCGGAAAACAAAATAGTTTTTGTTAGATGTTGGCGAATATTTTTTTTCTTAAATCAAATTTTAAACGTGAAACTTTATGATAAAGCCTAATTTTTAAACACTCAGATGCTATTATTCTTATCAGACTTACTTTGCGATTACCTAAAATAAAATTGTCCAAATTATGAACCGGTCATTTTGAAAACTGTAAAATTAAATGAAAGGGACGAAGGAACAAAGTCAGTGTATATGATATGATATTAGTCGCTTCAAAAATACTAAATTTTTATACAGAAACTATTGTAATAGATCACACTAAATAAAGTTTGATCATCAGAATACGGTCGTGTGAGTTATCCTGTACAGTTGTGAGTTATCTATGTAGAGTATTATAGCACATTATAAGTTTTCCATATTATAAAATGTATATTTTTAAAATAATTGTACACACTTATCCACTGGGAAGTGGAAAAGGATCAAAATTTAAGTGAAAATTACGAATCTGATGCAGATGAAACTAAGTAAGTGTTGATTCTTTCTTTATTGATATATAACATCTATAAAGAAAGAATAAATTTCAGTTTTATTTTGCGTTTTCAAAAAAAAAAGTTACCAAAAGACGGAAGTTTGCCTTCAAAATAAATTTTGTTAAAAGTATTTTTCCTAAACTTTATAGAAAATTAATCGATACACCCTTCCTCATTACCATTTAAAAGGATACTGAGTTAAATTATGAGAGAAAAATCATAATACATTGTAAATCAAAAATTTTCACAAGGGTAAATTCACCAAACTCTAAGTTATTTGACTCTTTTATTATAAAACTTTACTGATGTTTATATCCAAGAAAATATTGGATATTTTAAATAATCAGTGTCAACTTTACAAAATATCTTCAACAAATCGAAACATTGAAATCTGCTAAAATAGGATGTTTGATAAAGAAAAGTACTTTCGAAAATCGTTTTATGTTTAAATTTCTAGAACATTGCCAAAATTTTGTTTACATGCTGTAAAATTATTACCAAGTGTGAAAAAATTATAACGTAGCATAGAAATGGAAATTTATAGCTGTTGGTTACATTTTTGTGTATACATATAACTGATAACGTTTAACCGATAAATCTGCAATAGTAAAATATGTATATAATTATTAAGGACCAGCTGTTACAATTAAAATTTAGAAAAGAACAATTAAACGCCTTTAATTCTTCATTTCTCTTATATTATACGAAAATAAAAGCAAAAAAATATAAAGCAAACGAAAAGGACCTACTTCTTAAATATTTTTTTTCAAATTAAAAAATAATTTCAATAAAAAATAAATTGAAGAAACATATACGAACATTATCGAAGTTGACCCGAATGAAGCAGTTCGGTAAATTTTTTTAATGCGGTGGCTTTGTACTTACCAAGACAGTGACTATTACATTGGCCCTTTTTTCAAAATGTCACATAATGATCATGTGATATCTGTCATCATTTTAAAAACTCTACTCTGCAAGTTAGGCAAACAGCCTGGTCAGTGTATCTCGCTTTTTTACTCACTTTTTATTCACTTTCAAATCAGAATTATAAAAATTTTCTATAGGATTTTTGAATTTTTTCTCAAATTATCGACTGAGCGTTTCACTTTCAAAAAAAGCTTTTGTATACAACTTTTGTATACAATTTAAAAAAAAAGGGAGGCAATAGGAATAATTCCTCTCATTCGAAAATTACATAATACAAGTATATGATAGTTACTCACTTTCTTCTCACTTTCCGACACGACATCAGCTCGTCGTTTACCTGACGAACTGATGAATCCAGCTTTAGTGATGATTCTTCCTTTATAGATATATAAAAATATTAATTTGCGTGATTTTTGTACAGGTTAATCATATTTGAATTTAAGAATACTAAATGGCGTTTTGCAATGACTTTTTGTCAAAATTCCAATAATTAAAGTTTTTGCAGAAAATTGTCATTTGCAGAAATCATGTCATCACCACATGACGTTTTTAAAAGCGGCCATTATCCTACATCTACACGAGATGTATGTACACTAGATGTCTTACATCATAGACATTGAAAAATGCCACACTTCAAAATTCTTTTGAAAAAAATTTTTCAAATTATAATAGTGGCAATCGAAAATTTCTGCAAGCAGAGTGATCATCAAATAAAAGTTGTACAATTTTATCGAAATCGAAAAAAAATATAATTTCAATATAAATTTTAATATAATTTATCTTTTTTTGTTTAAACACATTGCATTATTTTACATTTAAAACTTAAAAATCTGGATGCATTGTATTATTTCATTCCATTGCTTTCTTTAATGAGAAAACTTTTTCTTTTAATTTATTTCAATTTAAAAATTTGGACTTGGAACTGAAAAAGAAGAATTTGTACTTAGAACTGAAAAACATATAAAACAAGTAAAAACGTTTTAGTCGGTGTAAACCGATTGAATTATACCCTGCACCTTTCGTTGTTGTATAGCAATAACTCAAACCTGTGAAACCATTTTATAGAAATTTGACGGATGTGCCTGATTTATAACTGGACACACAACTGCCAAGTTTCATGAATCTGACTTTATTTTTCCAAATATTTAAACTTTTGGACTTGTATGGGAGGGGAGCTACTCGTAGCTGTAAAGCAATTCAACCAAAACTTCAGAAATATACCTGACCTATAACTCGACACACAACTGCCAAGTTTCATGAATCTGACTTTATTATTTTTTCAAATATTTAAAATGAGCTTTTGGAGTTGTATGGCAAGTACCTGAACCTGTCAAGCAATTCCATCAAAACTTTAGAAATATGTCTGACTTATAATTGGACTCACGACTGCCAAAGCTCATGAATCTGACTTCATTATTTTTCCAAATACTTAAAATAAGCTTTTAGACGTGTATGGGAGCTACTCGAACCTGTCAAGCAATTCCACCAAAACTTCAGAAATATATTTGGCCTATAACTCGACACACAACTGTCAAGTTTCATGTATCTGACTATATTATTTTTCCAAATATTTGAAATTAGCTTCTGGAGTTGTATGGCAGGTACCCGAACCCGTCAAGCAATTCCTCTAAAACTTCGGAAATATATTTGACCTATAATTGGACACATGACTGCCAAGTTTCATGAATCTGACTTTATTATTTTTCTGAATATAAAAAATTTGCTGTTGGAGTTGTATGGTAGCCACCCGAACCGGTGCAGCTATCCCATTATAATTTTTAGAGCATGTGTAGAATATAATTGGACATATGTATACAAAATTTATATTTATAGCTTTATTAATTTTTGAAATATTTAAAATAAACTCTTTGAGTTGTATGGCAGCTACTCGAACCCGTTGTCCGAATTAGTCCAATAACAATAGGGCTCGTCCTTGGCACAAAACAAAAAACTTGTGAAAGTTTGGTGTCGATTGCATTATTCGTTTTTGAGTTATCGTGCGCTCGGACGGACAGACGGACGGGCGGACGAACGGATGGACGGACGGACGGACGGACATGTCTAAATCGACGCAGAATTTTACGCTGAGCAAGAATATATATATGTCCATACCGCAGATGACTCCTTCAAGTAGTTACAAACTCCATACCAAAGTTAATATACCCTTCACGAAGTGCAGGGTATAAAAACATATGTATCGGAAAAAGTTTGAATACACATTTTGTCAACATCACACAACATCAAATAAATTCTGAACACAAACTTTTTTGTTGATATTTTAGAAGATGACGACTTTAAGGATTCCGAAGAAACCCAAACTATTTATGAGCCCATTTTGGTTATTTTATTTTACTTTTAATTAAAAAGTTTTGAAAAAAAAGTATTGTTGATGATATTCAAAATTAAAACCTTCTGATATTACCAAGAAAAACATACAATTCGGCAGCTGTAAGATTTTAAAAGTTTGGGTTACAAGGTTTTTGAAAGTTTTTAAAAACTTTTAAAAATTTTATAAAATTTTTGCATGCAAAGTGTCTGGGATTACAGACCTTTTCATAAACACAGTATATCGCGATATATGGCGAGAACTGTGCTATATTTGTGTTCATAAATAAATGTTGCTAATCAAGTTTGTTCATAAACATTTTTAATCTATCACAAATTATTTAAATTATCATGGCTAGCGCAGTTAAATCAGCTGTACTTTTTTTTACTAGGCTTTGCAGTTTGGTTTTAAATTTTTAATTGTTAATTGTTCTACTTAAATATAAGAAAATTTCTTTTTGTTTCAGTTTTCTTTTTTTGTTTTTCCTAATTTTTATTTTTCCTGAAATAGAATTTTCCACTATTTGGCTGAAATAAATAAATTTTTTTGCTAACGACATTTTTTGTTCATGAGCATAATACTAAAAATTCAAAATAGCAAAACTTTTTATACAACTGTCAAAAATATATTGCGTATGTATCACATTATTGTTTTGCAGTATTGCGTTTATGAAAATCTCTTACATTTTTTTGAACAAAAATAAGATAAAAGCATAAAACTCTCATTTTCTCAATGTTTAAAGTTTTTTCAAGTTTTGTAAAGTAAAATTTAGAATTTTAAAAACTTTTCAAATCTTACAGATGTCGAAACATATGTTTTTCTCGGTCATGTCAGAAGGTTTTATTTTTGAAAAAAAAAAAAATTCTTTAACAATTACTTTTTTTTCAAAACTTTTCATTTAAGCATAAAATAAAATAACCAAAATGGGTTCATAAATGTTTTTTTCTAAGTTTCGCACTTTTATAATCTAAAATCAAAATTTTCGGTTTTTCGTATAACCAAAAAATATTTTTGCATGTTTGATAAATACTTTGAAATTTGACGTTTATAACATAATTATAGTTTTTAAAAGTTTTTTCAAGTTTTGTGTCTGGTTTGCAAAAGAAATACTTTTTTAAGTAAGATTTTTTCTTCTTTTTGGGAGAAATTTCGTCATTATTTCTTTTTCTAAAGTTTTTGCAAGTTTTATCCAAGTCAGACCTATTATTACTCATTTTGCAGATATGTGATTACGTCTGTATGTTCACTTTTTTATTACATATAAGTATAGGAAATAAATATAATATATGTATAATCAAATGGAATTTCCCATACAATGAATAATTCAATAAAACTAAATTTAGCAACATGATATGCTTTCCTAAATATTTAGATAATTACATATATTAAAATATAAATATGCCTAGGTAAGTAAGTACAAATTCTCTTTTAGTGTTTTGGTTTTTTGCTTTTTTGTGCTGAAATGTGTTTGTGTTAAAAATTGGAGAAGTTTGCTAATTATTTACATTACTTCTTGTTTTAAATCATTCTATAATAATAAATTAAAGCGGCAAATAGTAACTACATTAAACGTTAGTTTCATTCGGAGATTGTGCCAGATTGAGTGTTGAATTTCGTGGTGTCACTGCTGAAGTGTTACTATTGGGGTTCGTTTTTTGAGTAGGATTCGATGAGACCTCGGAATCTGATGATGCAAATGATGATAAATCAGGAAAATGAGAAGATCCGTCTTGTTGGTGTTGCATAACTTTATTTTCTGTTTTAAGCAATAATCCTTGACACGAGTTAACACTATTTTGAGATGTAATATTCCTACTTTTTAATAATGGCGGGTTTTTAATTGTCGATGAGAATGCTAAGCCTCTTCGTAGTGTAGCTCTGGAAAAAACAAAATATATGTAAATATTAAGAAAAATGTTTTATTTATGGAAGTTTTAATATAGCATGCAATAACAAATTACAGTTTTTTTTATCATTTTCTTTTAAAAACATCTTCATGCAACTTCAGAAGAGAATTGTGTACGTACTCAAATTCACGGGTCGAAAGATTGAACAAAAATTTCTTCTCGAACTACAGACGAGCTACAGATATATGAAGACGTTACCAGCAAATTAATCCCCACATTTCTACTCTTTTTTAACACTTCTACTCTTTCTTCTAATATAAAATATTGAGCCATATTTTAATTGTCGCATCATTTACATGACATTTGTTGTTGTCGCTGTCACATCATTTGAAATGTGGTATTCTGATTGTCGAGTGATGTGAGTGCGAGAAATAAAGAAATTTTGGCGAGTAAAGTACAAACTAAAAAAATTTCAGTGTATATATTTATATTTTTAAATAATAAAAAATGTCACTGAATATATTCGAGGGAAAAACGAGTACCCGTAAAAGACGTTCTCGGTCATAAAGTTTCCGATTATTCAAATTTATTTTACTAAAAACAAAAATTAAATTATATATTTTATGATTTAATTATGTATAAAATTAATTTTTTTTTATGATTTTGTTAAATTGTTTTGTTTTAACTTGCATTTTTGTGTATCCTTCATGTTTGTCACTTGTTAAATACTTTTCGACAAAAAACGTCGTTTCACTACGACATATCTCAAATCAGAGCAACTGAAATATGACTGAAACACATTTTCACACTATTACCCGATAAGTGTCACTGCGATCGCCGCTTAGAATATCAAATTCAAGTCGTAACGACAATTATCGCCCTACTTCGACAACTAGAATAAGGCTCATTGAATTGATGAATGTGGGATATAGTCTTTTTTGTCCAAAAAGCATGAAAAATTTTTTATTGGTTAATAAAGGATGCAATTACACACACTTTCGCTTAAGACTTGGAAAAATTTCAAATATTGTTTAAATACTTGTTTTTATTTTTGCTCAGCGTATTTGAAGAGAGACATAAGAATAAAGATTGTACTTTAGTTAAAAAAATAAGAAATTTTATTGAAAAATTCTTTAAAACAATTAAATATGTCTTGTATTTTATATTGTTATTGCAATTTTCAAACATCTGGTGTCTAAGTCCTCGAGATACGACATCTTCTAATACGAAATTTCTATGTACGACATAATAAATTTGGATAATTTTTATTCAACTTGCGACATATATTTTTTTATTTTTGTTGCAAAATTGAATTTATTTCGATTCGTTATTATACATTGTTTTTTTTTTAAGCTTTGTTACCTTTTTTTAAAAAATATGTGAACTATATTATAAAATAACTTATCTTATTCACTATTTGTTTCCATACATTTTTTTCCTCCTCAAACGACAATTCGACCTACGACATAAATTTCTGGAATCAAAAATGTCGTATCTCGAGGACTTGGTATTTATACATTTATTTGCTTTGGTTTTCGTTTATATTATAAAGAAACATAGACAAATTTACAAGATCATCTCATTTTCCTGGTGATTCGGAGTAAAGAGCAGGTATGTTTCTGTTACGAGTCTTGTAAAATCCTTTGATTGAGATAAAACGCCTCCTTGGTCTGCGTCTGATTTAAGATGGAAGGCGGTAGCAAAAGCTTGCTTGGGTTAATAAACATATACAATAAAATAATATAAAATGTGAAATAAAACGAATATAAATTCGGGGGGTGGGGGGGGGGGGGGGTATATTAAATATATGGGGGGTATACTAAATATATGCCCCCCAAATATATCCCAACTCAGCAGAGATCAATGGTCATTGGAGAGGGCTGAATATTCAAGACGTTCAGGATAGTCGCTAGCGGCAAGAAGAGAATACTTAACGAAACTAATGAGCTCTTTTGCAAGAGCTAAAGGATTACAAGATCATCCTCTATGGAGATACTTAATACAAGACCGTAAAACGTTATAACAAAAATGAAGAAAGAAAATAAGCAAAACCTGTGGATATAATTGCAAAAACTCGTTACGTCAAGAAAGTAAACCAGTAGTCGATACGCATAAATGGAAAAATTATGTAGGGAACTAACATTTAAAACTGCCAATTCAAGACAGAAAATTCATGATTATTAAGAAAACCAAAAAATAATTTTAAATGACGCCGAGAATAACAAAATTAAGGCTTGACTTTTCATTGACACAAAAGAAAAATATGCAATTTTATATCAGTATCAAACAAAACTCCTTTATAACTTATCCGCAACTAAAAGACAAACTATTCGTGACGAATATTAAGAAGCAGAATTACTGAATCCGCCGATTGAAAGAAACGAATGCATTATGGAAAAAACATTAAAAATACTATTAATTATAATATAATTATAATGTCTTTCATTATGAGTAAAAGAAAGCAAAGATAAAGTTGAATTTTTCGCTGACCGTTAAAAAAATTTTTCAAGCCAAAGAAATAAATTCTAGTGGTTGCTTAGCAGACGATTTTGAAATGGATGAAAACACTATGAAAGCTATTTGCACAAAACGAAGTTGAAATAAGCAAAAACAACGCTTGAGTCAAATAAACCGTCAGGATTTGATTTCATCACAGCTGAAGTAATACGAGAATAGCTGAAAAAGGTATTAAAATTTTTCAAAAAAGTAATGAATGTAGCAAAGTATATTCTAAATGCTTGGATAGTAGGAGAAGTTATTATGATACACGTTAAATTTGATTATATTTATTAAACGTAAATAAATATTTTTTGGTTATATCAAAAACCGAAAATTTTGATTTTGGATAATAAAATTGTGAAACTTAGAAAAAACTATTTGTAAATCCATTATTTTATTTTTGTTTATTTTATTTTATTTAAATTTAGTTAATGTTGGTGAAAATTTTTTTTTTCAAAAATAAAACCTTCTGACATATCCAAGAACAACATATGTTTCGACAGCTGTAAGATTTTAAAAGTTTTTAAAACACTAAATTTTACTTTACAAAACTTGAAAAAACTTTTAACATTGAGAAAATGAGGATGTTATCATTTTCTCTCATTTTTGTTCAAAAAGTATTATCCCAAACACTTTGCGTGCGAAAACTTTATAAAGTTTTTAAAAGTTTTTAAAAACTTTTTTTATACCAGACAGACCTTATGTTTACAGGCTTCATAATTCATTTAAACTATATGAATTATGAACCTTATCTCATATAATCTTTTTGTATTAAAAGTCTTTATAATTTTTATATGAATGTGTCCGTGACTTCCATAATGCGACTTATATATTTGACAATCTACTGGGAATTCTCACTTACAGATTTCAGATGTATAATTAATTTAAAATAAGATAACAAAAGAATAAACATAACAAAATATAAGTAACTAAAAATAATTGTAAAAATAAGTAACAATTTATGATAAAACTAAAAAAAAAAAAAAGAAAATTTAATCAAAAAAACTTGGTGATTTCTCTTTTAAGTTTATCTCTCTTATAATGCAAATCGATCTCAGAATCACAAACATTAAATAAACGTTGAAAATTTGAAATAGGCTCTGAAAAACGTCTAGATTCAAGAGTTTGAATGTCTATCAACTTACATTTCGCAATGTAGCCAGTAGCATTCATCTCCCAATTAAACTTGCGTAACGAAAATCTAACCATATTTTTCTGTACTGATTCAATACGTTTAATATGTTTAGTGTTTGACGGCATCCATATAGGTGCGGCATACTCAAGATGTGGACGAACTAATGATGTAAACAAGCTTTTGAAAGTATACGGATCACAAAATTGAGAACAATTCCGCTTGATAAAACCAAGCATAGAAAGCGCCTTAGATATAATGAAATCAATGTGAGGATTAAAAGTGAGCTTACGATCAAGAACTACACCTAAATCTTTAGTTTCATCAACCACATTTAAAAGAGAGTTATTCAGATTATAATTAAAATCAAAACAACTCTTCGTTCTATAAAATCTCATTATTTTACATTTTTCAATATTCAATATAAAGCCATTTAAAAAACACCATTTATAAAATTTTTCAATATTTATTTGAAGCCTATAACAATCATCTAAGCAAGTAATAACTGAGAATACTTTAGTATCATCAGCAAATGATAAGAAAGAACAATCAATATCAAAACCACTATCATTTGTAAATAGTAAAAAAGCAGAGGTCCCAAATGTGTACCTTGGGGAAAACCAGATGTTGATAAAAATGAATATGATTCTAAATTAGAAATTTTAACAGAAAGCTTTCGCCCAAGCAAATAAGATTTAATCCAATTTAATAAGGTACCATAAATACCCAGTGCCTCAAGTTTAAGTAGAAGTTTACTATGATCTACCTTGTCGAAAGCTTTACAGATATCGGTGAAAACCGTATCGACCTGAAAACCTCGTTCAACTGCGTTATGTACTGAATGCAAGAAAACAGATAAATTAGATGTAGTGGATCTACCTCTCATGAAACCATGTTGATAAGGAGAAATATTTTCCTTTACTAAAAAATAAATTTTATCCGTGACAATAGCTTCAAATAGTTTTGGTATAGCAGAAAGTTTAGCTATAGGTCTATAATTTTTAATGTTCAACCTAGAACCACTTTTAAAAATAGGTACAATATAAGAGAATTTACATTCTTTCAATGATCTATTAAAAATAATTAATAGAGGTTCAGAAATGCAGTTTATACAATTTTTTAATAGAAAATTTGGTATTCCATCAGGGCCAGCACCCAGATTGAGATCCAACTGAACAATTTTATTGAGAACGTCACTATAAGATAATTGTAAATTACCCAAATCAAGAATTTCACCAATATTATTATAATAATCTGGTGGTTGACAAACAGATAAATTTACGTAAACTGACTCAAAGTAATTTGCAAATAAATTGCATGTAAACTGAATATGAAAGGCCGTAGAATCATTGTAAGAAATACCAATAGGAAAACCAGATGATCTCTTACGCGTGTTTATA